GGAGAGAGAGAGAGAGAGAGAGAGAGAGAGAGAGAGAGAGAGAGAGAGAGAGAGAGAGAGAGAGAGAGAGTCAACGGCCGTGACTGCCAGTCTACACCCTCGGTTTGCTGCCTTGTGGTTTCTGAATCGCCTTGGTGAACCCTTGCTGAAAGGAGGGGAGAACGTCCTGGAGCGCTAGTTAGCTCACCACATTGAACGCACGTGCGCTGTCATGTGCGTGCGTGCGTGCGGTTGCATGTGGATGTGAGTCTGCGCTTTATCTCGCGCAAAACGTCGTGGCTGTCGCAGTCTCTCGTCGGAGTTCCTCGCGTTTGTCGAAAGCATACGAGTCTGACTGTGTGGACAACATGGTATGAGGCTGTGAATCTCTTTTGCAAAGCGTGATCGCTAATGCCCATGTGGACCCTACACTGCACCCTATAAGTGCACTTCCTATGTTTTGTTTGTACTTGTCTTGTGTACGCATGCGTGCGTGCTTGTGTGTGTTTGCAGTGTTTGATTTTTTTACGTTTCATTTCGCTCTTTTTTTTTTTTTTTTTTTTTTAATCAATCTCGCTCTCTTACGTTCACGGCGGAATCGACTCTTTGTGAAGGAGCACCTTCTTTCTCTCTTTCCCTCTTTCTGGCGATCATGACGCTTGGCTTCGGTCCTTTCTATTCTCGAGAGCCCCTTCTTTCTCGGTCGGGACCTAGGGCCTCTGAACTCATCTGTGTGTTGCTACGACGGTGGTGTTTTCTATGATCCCTTTTCTGGCAGGATAGTGCCTGGCTTCTTCTTTAGTTGTGCCTGGCTTCTTCTTTAGTTTCTTTTTTTACTATTTTTTTTTTTTGAAATTGGACGACTCCTGTATTTATTCATCTCATCGATGCGCAACGACCCTATTAATCTTCTGTATTATTCCAATTTTGAGGACGGGCAGGATGATACTCGCTTTCTAATATTTTCCAAACGCGTACTGCGATCAATAAACGTCTAGCACGGCCGTTTTTTTTTTTTTTAATGTCTCTAATCATTCGTTTTACCTCGATAAAACTCTCCCCAACAGCTCTGTTTTTTTTTTTTTTTTT